GCTCGCTATCAGCACGAAGTGACTCTAGCAAACAAAATGATACGAGATACATCTGACACTGCAGGTGCCCAAATACCATGGACCTGTGGCCGCCTGCTTAAATCCTCCAAGGACAAATGTGGCAGTGCAATATACATAACGCACATATAACGCGAAATCTAGTCTTGAAGGAGTCATTCATTATTTATTTCGTTACGTCATTCGCTTCGTACCCACTAAGCAACGAAAACTAGAAAACTAATTATTAACTTGTCCAAGTAATGCCAATACCCTAAGCTGCATTACACGATCGAGTCAGGTGCTAAAACAATACGGAATCATGGCCTGCTTGCGTGGCAAATCACTCGTCGCCCTCATGGTCAACTCTCCGTTCGCCTGGGGTAATTCTTTTCATTCCAGTAGTCAGGACCTTCGCATCATCTGATCATTCGCACGGTCACGTATGGCTTTCACTTCGCACTGTGCCAATCAGCCACTTCGTGCGCACTTTTATCAACCACGTTTCTGTTCACCTGCTATCTCCATAAATATCATATACATTCTGCTGTATATGTACATAGCATAAGCGATGGAAAGCAGATAATTGTTGTTGATAGTATCAAGCATAAGAATGAAAAAGTATTCACTGTGTTAACGATTATTGTAATGTGCTGTTATGCTGGTTCAGAACGACGGACGCTGAATGTGAAAAAAATGGCAACGGCCACCGGGAAAAGAATTGCAGCCTCGTCGTCGTTTTTCAGAAGCCTTTCACGGTTCATAATTCATGCTCAAATTATTTCTCTTTGTTACAATCATCATTGGATGTGCATCAGGGATATCGACTGCTGCAGATAAACGACGCCAGCGCAGTTCAGTTTGTAAAGCATTTTCACTATGCGAACCTGAGTTACTGAATTATATTTTTAGGGGAAACGTCACGGATCAACAACAAACCGCCGTTTACTGGCTGAGTTTGTTGTCAAGTTTTCAAACTTAGCACCTTCTGTGTCAAAAAAGCTTCGTTAGTTGTCAGTGATTAGTCGGACAGCGCCAATTATTCGTCCGCGTTTTTTTACGATATTTCTGTCCCCGCCCCACACACCGTCCATCATCAATCTGCCAGACGTCTACCCGAACTCGCTAGAAAACCGCCATTT